TTTGCGGTCGGTGCGTCGTGCGCGCGTGCGCGCAGCCGTCGATTCGGGGTTAGTGGGTTAGTGGCGCAACTAGTGAAAACGGGCAGAGGAGAGAATCGAGTGCCTGACGGTATCGGTGCGCGAATACGCAGGTAGAAAGTAAAACCGTTTCACTGTCAGCGCTGGCCCACTTACGGCGCGACACGCCCGACGAGACAGAGACTGAGAGAAAGAGAGTGAGATGGGAGAGAAAGAGAGAAAGAGAGAGCTACGATGCAGCGACCACCACGTACGCCGCTGCTAGTCTGCTGTCTGCAGTAGCGTCGGAGCATTGTGCGTGCTGGATGTGAAACGCACACACTCTCTCTCTCTCTCTCTCTCTCACTTTCACGCTCACTTGATTCTCTCGTTCTCGTTCTCTCGCCATCGTGTGCTTTGGAAATGCCAGTGTAACATCGCGCTGACCAGCCTCTCTCTCATCGGACACTCTCCGGCGAGAACGACGCTGTGTATTCGTCTGTGTTACGGATTCCCTCTGTGTGTGCGTGTGCGTGCGTGCGTGCGTGCGTGCGTGCGTGCGTGATCCGCGGAGGATACTGCGAGGAGGTGTGGACGGTGACGACGACGACGACGACCACGACGACGCGGAGCGCCGCGGCGACCGTCGGCCGGATCCCCGACAACATGTCGGCCGCCGTGGGATGAGGAGCGCGCGGACGCGGTCCCCCCAGCAGCGGCGCGGCGCGGCGGCCCGGGTGCTCCCTCGCAGGGCGCGCCCCCCGATGTGCGACCACATGCGATTCGCCGACTACGTGCGCAGTCTGTTCCTGCTCTACGCGCTACGCAGCAGCGCCGGCCTGCAGCGCAGCATGGACACGCTCAAGCAGCAGGCGCACGCGCCGCCAGGTGGCGCCTGCGATGCTGCGCGGCGACGGTTGGGCGCGGGCGGCGACGTCGTCCCCGCGCGAGAGAAGGAAGCCGCCGCGAGCGGTCGTCAGGAACAAGGCACGTCATCGTCGTCGTTGTTGTCGTCGTCGTTGTTGTTGTTGTTGTTGTTGTTGTTGTTGTTGTTGTTGTTGTTGTTGTTGTTGTTGTTGTTGTTGTTATCGCTGTCGCGCTGCGTGCGCGGAGTAGTCGGTGGTTGCGGAGTCTCTAGTGCGGCTGCGTGAAGTATCACTGCTTTCGCGTAGCGTTACAGTGGCAAGTTGCGCATAAGTGTAGTAGTAACTAGTGACGCGTGCTACAATGTAGTTTCCATTGACGTGCCAGTGACGATTAGACGGGGCGGCGAAATTTCCGTTGAATGGCTACGACTGGCAATCATGAACTCGTGCGCTTGTGTAATACGGGTAGCAGTGCCTGAATGGCTGCTAAGTGGCTTGGTAATGCAGGCTTTGTCCCCAGGGGTATCTCCCGTGAAACAAAGACTTAACTGTGTTTGTGGGACATGCCAGTGTGTGTTCGCTAGCTGCAGCAGTGGCAGCAGCATGCAGCAACAGCAGCTGTGCACGCATGCCTGAGTCTCATACCCAGTAGCAGCAAGCCACATATGGTGCCATTCGTGAACAAGCTACAGGCCGTAAAGCCTGGTAGCAGTGCGAAATCACCGGTGGCAGTGCATGTGCAGGGAATAAACCCCAGCGCGGGCTGCTAGTTTTACTGTATGGGGGTGTGCGTGACTGCGTGCGTGCGTGCGTGCGTTAATGCGTGCATGCGCGCGTGAGTGTGTGTGTGTGTGTGTGTGTGTGTGTGTGCGTGCGTGCGTGCGTGCGTGCTTGCGTGCGCGTGCGAGAGTGGTGTGCGTGCGTGGGTGTGCAGGTTCGTTTATCAGTCGCTACTAGTCAAGTGGCTGCGTATTCAATCAAGTGCTGTACATGGTAATGTGATCATATTGCTGCACTTCTCTGACCACATGCTCCTGATAACTAGTGAGTGTATGAGTGTATCTCCCTGTCGCTATCTCCCTCTCCCTCTCCATCTCCGTCTTTGTGTGTATGTGTGTGTGCGCATGAGTGCGTGCGTGCTGCGTGTGTGTGTGTGTGTGCGTGTGTGTGCGCATGAGTGCGTGCGTGCTGCGTGTGTGTGTGTGCGTGTGTGTCACTCTATGTCTCTGCGCATGCATACGTGCACCAGTGTGTGTGCGTGCGTGCGTGCGTGTGTGCGTGCGTGCGCGCGCGCGTGTGCGTGCATGTGTGTGTATGTGTGTTGGTGTGCGTACTGTGTCTGCAAACAGACGACAGAAGCCCAACCGCAGCGTTGTACTTGCTGGCTTTCATCGTTGCGTAATACTGCAGCAGTCAGGGAGCAAGTAGTCGCACACAAATGCATTTCTTGCACTTGTTTCTTCTCGTGTTTTCTCAACTCGGTTTATTTCAGACAACAGTTTCACTGCTCTTCGCTACGTCTCCTGTACATCTAGTATTGCGTTTATTCTAGATTTAGTAACTGTGCTTGTATTTCATCTTTAAAGGCATGGCGTGGGGTGTACCATATGCTGCTCGATAGACCGTAATGCTAGGATATAAATTCTTCCCTGGAAGCCATTTGACATTAGATTCCTTCCACCCGCCGCATGCCACCTTCCGCCAGCATGCCATTAGTCTGAGAGTACTATAAGAGCCGACTGGAAATAAGTTGGCATCTGTCGGGATGCTATATATACAACCATATATATGAAATACGACATCATATCATCGTTTCCTTCCCTTTATGTGCATGAGCGTTATCCCAGCATCTACATGAGCTTTACGTTCCAGACTATTTTTAATGGTGCGTTAAGTTGCATTTCAAATTGGAGGCATGCTTCATGCAGATCAATAAAATGTATAGCAATGCATTGGAGCAATCACAGTGAAAAAACCGCAACCCGCTGGGCCAAGGAAATGGGAAAGTACTCAAAAGCAGCCATCAAGTTTGATGAATTTCATTCAAATCGATCTGTGCGTGCACGCGAGTTTATTCCACAGTGGTCAGATCCGCAAAGTCGCATCTGTCATCGCATGTGAAGCCCGTATACATACATACATATATATGTATACACGAGACAGAAACTGACTGATACTGATAGTCCTCCGTTCGTGTAAGGCGGGTATGTAAAGCTTGCGTGCAAGCCTAGAGCGCCACTGAGCCACGCTTTGAAATGTCTCTGTGCGCCAGACGTTATTGCAATAAGCCGCGGGGCCGAATTGCGCGTATAATTGCTGCGGGGGGGGGGTGCGGATGCTGCTGTGTGTCATCGTGTGGGAAGCCATTATATTCACGATGTTGGCCGTGTGTAAATAGTGGCCGCGTCGCAATGCGGCGATCGGTCAGGTTATGACAACAACAGGGAGTTAGAAGTTAGAAAGGGTGCTCCAGAATACGAGGTACTAGAGAATTATGTTTTTACGTTGAGAAGTGTGGGTGATTCGCATCTGTGTGGTTCCTTGCGTACGTGCCGTCCTCTATATTTGTGTACGCCGTACGTGATTGAGTGCGTGCGTAATAATGTGCACGCGTGCGTGCTGTACAGTATGTTTGTGGTAAAGTGCGTGCGTGCTGTAATGTATGTTCGTGTTAAAGTGTGTGCGCGCGTGCGTGCCGTACGGTATGTTCGGAGTGCCATGCTTTATATTAGTGTTTAAAACAAGTGTACGTTCGTGCCGTACGATATGTTCGTGTTAAAGTGCGTGCGGATATGGAGCTTGTACGAGTGCGTGCGTGCGTGCCATACGATATGTTCGTGTTAAAGTGCGTGCGGGTGTGCCATACGGTATGGGGCTTGTACGAGTGCGTGCGCGCGTGCGTGCGTGCGTGCCGTTTTGTGTGCTAAACTAGGTAGCGCTTGCCCGTGCTCCAAAAAATGCTGTAGGAAAGTGCGTAACCTTCAGCACGCACTTACGACAGAAGCGTATGTCCCAACACCACACCGACAGATACTCGTAAGGTTCCCTATATTGCAGCGCAGGTTTTGTAAAGAGCTGAGAACAGCAGATGTTGCTAGTATTAAATTAGCTGCCGATGGAATTGTATCCGCTGGAAAAGTAGTTCAGTCGAGAGTCGAAAGTATTCCGCCGGTTTCCATAATTATCTTCCGCAGATACTGGCGCCATTGTTATCTTTCTCGTGCAGTAAAGAGGCACGGGGCTTGTAAAGACCCTTTTATTGAACACTTGTAATATTTGCGACGTGAAAGACAATACTCTTTGAGATTGTAGTAATTTTAAAATTTCTGCAGTGCCGTTTAGCTCTCTTATTATGCATCAATTAAATGTTGTGTACTTTTGCTGCCGTTCACTCCTTTCAAAGGGAGCATTGATTGAGATATGCTGTCAAGCATGACTTCAATCACTTTCCAACTAACTACGTGCAATTATGTAGCAGAGTAAAACGGGACGAATCGTTCGTTAATTTGCATAAACCTCTGCCGTAAGAACGCATTCACGTGAGCCATACATACGAACGAGTGAATTCGCGTGTCGCGCTGTTCATCCGTGCAATCACACGGCCCAGCGTAAATTCTCGTGTCGTATGTAATTGTTACGGCTTTGCTCGAGGGTGAAATGTCTCACCGTAATCAATTGAATGGCGAGCTGCATTCTTGCAGAGTAATGCGCTTCGGTTGTGCAAGGGGGGGGGGAGCTTGCAACGCAAGCGCGGCGGCGCTAAGTGACACATCGATTTACGGAGAGTTACAACTACGGCTGCGAATCACGCGCGAGGGGTGGAGTGGAATGCCACCGGTGACTAGTGGTCAGTCGGTGTGCGACCAGTCGTGCGTGGAACGGTCGGCGCAACGTCCTGCAATTTGGCCGATTGCAGCGCGCACTACAGACGCGTTCTTTAGGCTGGTTTTAGCATACTTTTATGCCGCTGCTGTAAAGCCGTGAGTGATTGGGACGGCTAACGACACACACGCGTCTCCCGAGAAAACGACGGCGTGCGTTGCTACTTCGCGTCAATGTTTTCATTTCAATTCTGTCACGCCCACTAGCAACGTGGTGTGAGCAGTCGTATTGATTTATTTTCTCTTGTCTTTGCAGCACCGCTGACAAGCACGGCGGACCTAGCAAGTTTATTTGAGTGTCCAGTATGTTTCGACTATGTGCTACCACCAATAATCCAATGCCAGAGTGGTCACCTGGTATGCTCCAGTTGCCGGCCAAAGCTTTCCTGTTGTCCCACATGCAGGGGACCCCTAGGTATGACTTTTTCCTCGGTAATTTTATACTGTAACGTTTTGCCAATGAAATTTCCCAGTACTGCCTCATACTTAACGTACGAATATCCTACAGCTAGAAGAGCGATTTTCTCGCTCTACTTGCAACCCGTTCACTGTTCTTGATGCACGGCCTCGTTTTCTGTTCGTGTAGGTAACATACGGAACCTGGCCATGGAGAAGGTGGCCAGCTCTGTGATGTTCCCCTGTAAATATCAGTCCTCAGGTTGTACAGTATCGCTGCTTCACACGGAGAAGACAGATCATGAGGAAGCTTGTGAATTCAGGTATGGCTGCTTGTTCGGTCTCTCGGTCAGTTCTCGCGAGGACGTCGTCCACTATGTACAGTCAGACCTGTGTTAGGGCACCAGCTCTATAGAAATATGTATATATATATACATACATATATACAATGTAATATATATAATAATATATGTATGCATTCTATAGAATGGTCACCTGTCTGCACAAACTTTTAGCATTGCCCATGGGTGGGGGGAGGTAAACAGGGTTTGTATGGGTTCTGGGGAATATGGAAATTTAAACTGTTACTTTCCAGGTCTTGAAAGTCCTGTAAAGTAGGCCACTGGCGCCCACAGGTCTTGAGAAAGTAAAAGCACAGAAGGATAAAATCCTCAGTGATAATAAAAAGCAAGCGCCGTAGGAGCGCTGCACGCTAGCGGGGTCTGGGGGCATGCCCCACCCCCTGAAAATTTTTGAATGGTAGACGTCTGGAGATGCAATCTGGTGAGTCTTGCGAGAGAGATTTAGGAACAAAATGTAGGAACAAATTGTTTAACCCAAAATTTACTGGAAGCACTGTGCTTCCAAAGCTTCTATCTGCGGGCGCCACTGAAGTAGGCTATTGTTCTGGAAAGTCGTCACTTGAACACCTGTCAATTGCGTCTACGTTTTACCAATGATAATAACATTGTGATAAACGCCACATTGAACATTTCCCTATAGGTACTGTTACCCTTATGCAGATTTGCCTCTACTGCCATCTGGGAATTTAGTGTGGGCACACGGTGGTTATTAGAGTTGCCCGTTCTTGCCAGCATGACATTGTAGTACATAACGTATTGATTTTGCACTAGTTTCTATCGATGTGGTCGTTGTATCGATTGAACCGTTCTGATTACAACGTTGTCATTTGTTGGAGGGGCGGCAACAGTGTGCGGCAGCTACCAGCAAGTGATTAGGCCGCGGGCGCTTCCTTACCAATCCCACAGATTACTCTGTTATATAGAGGAGTCTGTCTGTTGTGAGGGAGGGAGGGAGTGAATTAAACTTGCAGGTTGCCAGATTCGATGCAGTGGGATGTGGGTGTGAATGTGTGGGAAGCATTTACGCGTGGTTATTGAGGAAGCATGTTCGAAGTTAGGTAGTACACTCTAGACGTTAGCTTTAATGGCTTCGAAATAGGTATACTGGCTTAGAAAGTTTGGTTATTGGTCACCAGGGGTACGACTGCAGCTAAAAAATTATACGAAAAATCCATTAATATCGACTCGGGTGGAAAATCTTGAAGCCCTAAGTAGAGTCGATTCCAGCATTCCTACAGTAGATTTCTGCCTTGTTTGACTGTACAGTATGCAGGATTATAATAGTTTAATGGCTGTGATTTGTGTCACCGCATCAACTAGAGAAGAATCCCAGCTCCACTGTAATGAATCGCTCATAATCGTCAAAGTGTAAGCTCATAGTCTGGAGCCCGTTGTCAGAAACGAAATTAGTCTTAGCATTGGTCTTAACATTGACTTTTCTCGTAGACCATTAACAAAAACGTTGGTAAAGTTACGAGTTTCTCATACGCAGTGTATGGAGGTCCGGTCCATGAGAAAAGGTTGATCACTAATTTGAAGACTAATTTTGTTTCTGACAACCGGCCCGAAAGGTATAGCGGTAGCACTGACCCGTGTCAGCATAGGAGGCATGCAAGCTATTGATTGAGAACCAAAGTTAACCACGTAATTCTATCCATAAGTTCTAGAGGAGCATAACCTTCGTTCCTTCCAATAAAGGCTTTGAGCAGAATACCACATTATTATGACCAATCCACAGCTCCTATAAAGTGGCGTTATGTACGCTAGTTTACCAGTAGGTGGCGGTAGCAGCTCTACATTTACTTCGCGATGTGATGACTAGGAACATTAAAAACGAATGGCGGCGTATGGATGGCTGGCATAGGGCGCAGATGTCACGGTGGAGTGCTTGAGAAAAATGCACTAGAAATAGAATTCGAGTACCGCCTACGATTGATATACGAATTCAAAGCTGCTTAGCAGACGAGCTGAGGTCTACACAAGATGGGTGAAAAAATGCTACTCCATCGATAAAAAATGAAGCAAAGAAATCTAGGCCATAGACTAAGAAAATTCAGAATGAGTCGTGTTTCGTGACTTGACGTGAGTAATAATGAGTGAAGGGTTCAAGTCCGTGGAGAGGGAGGACATAAGCGTTTCACCGATGACTACACAATGAGCTACACTTATATAAGTTTATTCGGCTATAATTTTTTTTCCACCCAAAATTAAGGGACATACCCGCCTCCGTTACACCCCAGAGGCTAAAGCCCTGAAAATTGCAAAGCGAGAGATGTTTATTTGACATGAGTTTTTACATGCCACGGGCGTGCTGCACTCCTGTTCAGTGAACCTTTCTGTTATCGGCTTATCGCACATCTCTTCTAGTCGCAGTCAAATATAGAGTAAATCATCGTATACTGGAGAGTTTTTTGTAATACACAGAGTGCCCCTAGCAGCCTTTCACCCATTCTGTGTGGATTCTGCTCAAGTACAGTGTGATTTTGTTAGACTAGCTGAGTAGATGTCTATATGTTCAAAAATGGCAATTTCCCGTGTTTTTGTTTGGCTGCGGAATGTGTCATTTCATGTGCGCGCAGCTGAGTGCATGTCAGGGCAATTTTGAATCACCAAAGCTGTATGCCACGCATGCACGCACTCACCCGCTTGAACACGCACACTCTGCACACGCACATGCACACACGCACGTACACACCACGTGCATGCGCGCGCGCACGCACGCACGCACGTGCACGCAAACACAGACACACACAGCTAGTCACGTTTCCTGTTTATTTTCAAGGATAAGAGTCATGTTAGATGCAGCTGGTAGTAGTCAGCTCTGCTGGCTACCGAGTTTGCAGCTGATCGCGTGTATCACGTTCGTTCGAGTAGCTGAATACCAGCATGGTGGTGGTGGTTCTCCAGCCTGGATTCCCTGCTCATCTTATCTCATACCCCCCCTCTCTCTCTCTCTCTGTCTCTGTCTCGCTGGCGGGTGCTTGCCCTGGCTCCCTGGCAGTGCAGGTGTTAACTACAAGCAAGACGCTGTCGGCCTTGCACAGCGGCTCTGAGAGTGCCAGTCGATTCCTGCTGCCGTGATTGAGTTGTACGTGCGTTGGTCTGTTTGGCGTATTCTGCTGCAATTTTGCTTAATCCGGCTACATGGTGCAAATCTACGATTGCAGGCCGTACATGTGTCCGTGTCCGGGCGCGTCGTGCAAGTGGCAGGGTTCGCTGGACGAGGTTATGCCACATCTCATGACCTCACACAAGTCCATAACAACTTTGCAAGGTAAGCTTTCAGTGTGTGGCGGCTCTCGAATCCGAAGTGAGGCGAATCTACCCAACCCCTCAACTAAGTCTGCAGTTAATGACGAACGAGAGCTAGTAGTGTTGTATTTAGCCCACTTTATCGTATAGGTTGGTTCGGCAGTTGCATCCGATTCTGGGAAGCCTATGCCCTTAAATTCACAATAGTCACAGTAGCCTTGTTGATGTGGATCTGATGAGGTCACGTTAGAGTGTGAAGCTCGTGTGAGACCGCACCCTGCACAACTTGAGCCGATGTATGATCTCATCTCGTGTGACCCTAACCCTATATCTACCGTTCCAGACCTTTAAATGCAGGTCGGGTTCTACGTGCCTTCAAAGCTAAAGCTAATTTCGACATCCCTGTAAATTGTCCAACATAATTTAACAACTAAATTTCCAGCTACGTTTAATTTTGACAATCCCGACACAGTCTTGGTGTGTTTTCACAGCTTTATGCATACGTCTGAAAACTGATTGAGTTTTCCCGTGTATTGGGGACATAGCCAACTGGCTCAAGTTGTTACAATCCTGCCCCCATTCATCCACAAATGACGTGCCTTCTGAAATTTCTGGGGTGAACCCAGTAAACATAAGGCTCACCCCTAACCCTAACCTTACCCCTAACCCTTACCTTACCCCTAATCATAACCCTAATATTACCCCTAAACCTAACCTTATTCTGGACCCCAGCCTCATCCCAAACCTTACCTTTGACCCCAGCCTTACCCCTAACCCTAACCTTATGCATAACCTTAACCATAACCCTAATCTCACCCCTAACCTTACCGTTGACGTGCGCAGGCGAGGACATTGTATTCCTGGCGACAGACATCAACCTGCCCGGTGCTGTCGACTGGGTGATGATGCAGTCGTGCTTCGGCAACCACTTCATGCTCGTGCTCGAGAAGCAGGAGAAGTTCGACGGCCACCAGCAGTTCTTCGCCATCGTGCAGCTCATCGGCACGCGGAAGCAAGCCGAGAACTTCGTCTACAGGTGAGAGCGACCTCGGGTGACCCCGAGTGACCTTGAGTGACCATGAGAGACCCCGACCTCCGAGTTACCTCGAGTGATGACCCTGATCTCCGAGTGACCCCGCTCCCGACCTCCGACGTGGAGACCTGACGAAAGCCGCGAGCCATTTCTCCCGGCCTGCTCCCCCCCACCTCCCACAGGCTATCTAAGAAACAGAACGCGCGTTACAGAACGAAAGAACCCTTCACGCCGCTGAGAGAGTTTTCACTCCAAGTGGCGCCACCTACGGTGGAGAAGAGCTTCTCCGACGAGAGCGAGAGTTATAAAAAGTGATTGCGCGACCGGTCGCGCACTGGCCACGTTTCGTGAGCGATCAAATGGCACATCGACAATGCGGTGGCTGAGAAGGGGGATCGACCGAATCATCAGAGCAACCAGGCTGAGAGTTTGCTGGCTGCAAGTTCGAGAGGTACGAGGTCGTCAGAGTGCGTGAAGTGACAACACTGCCTCCTCCCAGATAAGAAGATAAGTAGCTATCCGGCTGAGGATGGCAGCCGTTGTGGTGGGCGCGAACAAGGCATGAGAAGCTGGCGGGGCGGACGTCATAGCAGATTAGGAGATGGTATTACTGACAACCCCTCTCCCCAGTCCGCGCCGTCACACCCCAGCACCGTCATCGCCAGCATACACAGGTGGACAGGGCGGCGCGTGGGGAGAGCAGACCATCCCAGCACATAGAGAGAGAGCGTGACGTACTCCTCCCGCGAGTCCGCTGCCCACACCCCTCGATGACCACCCTGCATCGCAGCCCGGGGAGCAGCGCGCGGTGGAAGGCAGAGATTGACGCCAGCATCATGGGGGTAGATGAGTGACGCGTTGAGTGGGCCGAGTTGCCTGTTGGTCGGCGATAACAGTGGGTGGCGCGATGGCTGTTGTAATTCGGAAACACGAGGCCAGATCGCTGTTCATGAATCACAGCGCTGCGACTGCGCATGCCGCCTCGGTGGGATGCTGGCGCGGCGAGTTCGCGCGATGTCCCAACGTCAGGTCCGGCCGGGCGATGGCCGTGTCCACGTCCATGCTAGAAACCAACGCACGGGGCAGCGTGTAGCGATGAAACGACGAATGGTAAAACTTATGGGTGGAAGTTAGGGGGAGGGAGGCGCGGGAAGACAACAGGCCGTGAAACAAGCAGCAACTGGGGGTGACGTAGTAGAGATAACCGAGCGAGTTGTAAGACTGGTGGAAGGTAGGGGGGAGGAGGCCGGGAGATGAAAATTGGAAAAAATAAAAATATAAAACGAAGCAGCCTGAAACAACTATGACCAGGCGCTGTTAGCGAATGACGGTGAAATTACAGCGGTTATAAAACAGAAGTTAATGCGATGGAGGGCCTGATTAGGGAGGAGGCCGGGAGACAACAGCCTGAAACAACAGCGACAGGGCGCATTTGTGATGAAGGGATACACGGATAACGCAACAGGTTCCCGTGGGGTGGGGGTTAGGAGGGAGGCCAACAACGACGGGGAAATCACGGTTAATTAACAGGTAACGCGAAGAGCGCCGTTGGTGGCAGGTA